TCATCTGAAGGTGAGAAAATACTTAGAAGGGGGGGTTGAATAAGTATATAGAATATATTATGGCAATAAAAACTCAAAGATTTTTATCCTGGTTCGTTAAACTCAACTACTCGAGTCCACCCTATCAAGAGTGATTTGTCTTTCTCCACAAGGACTTAATCCACTATTAATCAAACTGATTACAATAGCAAGCACTAAGAGCAATTGTTCTTAGTCTTCTCAAGAACTACTGACCACAACTGGGTCTTCTCAAGGAACATTTACAATCAATATGTAAAACTAAAACAAGTGTTTGAATGCTTCTAAGTAAGCTATATCACAACTGTGATTTACACTTAAGTTTAAGAACTATGAAATAAATTCAGCAATGAGAATAAATTGTATGAGAGCTTTTCTTTGAATTTCTTTCAATATACCGTCAACTGAAGAAGAGAGATGGAGACTTGTTTTTATAGGCTTGAAGATCCAAGACGTTGCATGCTTTGAAGACCGTATCTACAAAGTAGCTGGAACCTTTTTGCCTTCACATCACTTGACGTTTCCTAGAAGTAGAACGTTCAGAGAAATCCTTTTTGCCTGTGTTCTAGTGTCTAGCATAAATGAGGAAAAAGTCGTTTGGCCTAACCAATGGACATAACTTTGAATTCTTCTTCAACAAGATTCTAATACTCAGTAATTAACATCAGAGCCTTGAGTGATCAGAGTCTTTGATGTTCATCAGAGTTTGCTGAATCAGAGTGTAATTTCATTAGAGCAGAGTTTTAGGAATCAGATCCTCAGTACTAGCAGCGTAATACTATCAGAGTCTTCTAAAAAAACTATGCTTGAAACTCTTCATACAAAGTCTTCAATGCTTCAGATGCTTCTGTAGCTTCTGCTTCAGATTCTTCTGTAGGCAGCGCTCAGAATCTTCTAAGAGATGCTTCTGACGCTTCAAAGCCTTACATAATTCAACGTTCAGATCTAATTTTCTTTCAGAATAATATTAACTTTAATATCTGCAGCAAAAAATACTTGACCAAATTTTAGAGTATATAATTTCTTAATACAAAATTTCGTAAGAGTTATCATTAAAACATAGAGATATAATTAAGAACCAATCTGTGTTCTAACAATCTCCCCCTTTTTGATGATGACGAAAACATGAGAAATTTTGTTCAATAAAGAGATAATTATAACTCCCCCTGAGATTATGAATCTCTCCCTGAATTGAATACTTAGAAAGAATAGAAACTTCCCTTTTTGCATTAGTATTCTTTTCAGAATCAGAGTCTGACACTAGTGGAAAAAAAAGCTTTTTAAGTCGGTTAAAAATGACTTTTTAAGTTGGGTCCGAGCCCGACCTAAGAATTACCCTCATAAGAAGTTTTGACTTCTTAAGTCGGTTGTGGACCTGACTTAAGAAACAACTTCTTAGGTCGGTTAGGCAGAACCCGACTTAATAAGTCTAGCCTGCAGAAACCATTTATACCCGACCTAAGAACTTACTTCTTAAGTCGAGTATAATTAACCGACCTAAGAAGTTTTTTTTATTGGAAGGTTGGAAGTTCATAACAATGTAAAGCCAGTATTGCTAAATTTGGTTTATTAACCAAATTAACAGTTTTTACAAATTGCAAGTTGTATCCGAAATTTACAGCTTGGAAACACGACTCAATTATGAAAATTTCTAAAGCTAAGTTGTTACATGAGGAACAAGCCATTACGTAAATCCTACGAAATCCACAGAAACACAAGCGACCATTTGTTTGAATAGACTTTTCGCATTGAAGCAGTCCCAAGGACTCCGCCGAGCGAAATACATGTTGCTATGGTGCTTGGTATATCTCACGGTAATCACCTACATTTGAACAAACAATGAAGATTCGGTAATCACCTACATTTGAACAAACAATTAAAGATTCAGTAACAGCTGACGACAGACGATATCAGAATGTCAAACCAATTGTAAGAATAAAAATCAATGGCAATTGTTTTCTCACTTATTCATGACAGGAATCATTTGCTTACCGCCAAATTTCAGAACATAACAATTGTTGGCGGTTGGCGGCAATAACTTAATGGAGCCACATGCATCCACAGGCAAATCACGCAAGAGAGCTCATTGAATCCACAAAGACCAGAGTTCCTGCACAAATATAGAGGAATATGTGAATATGTTGGTGAGGATACCGAATACAGCAGCAAACAACATACAACAGAACAATCATCTTACATTATTAACCCGTACCACGCCCACGACTTCACTCGTCACAACTTCGTAAGCTTTACTTTGAACAATCACAAAACAACTCCGAGTGTCTGCTGACCCAACTCGAACGATGCCTTCGCAACCTTCACGACAATAAGGGATCAATGTATCATTCAGACTTAGAATGTACCTTCCACCAGCATAAACCGAAACCATCCACGAAATTTTCAACTGAATAACTCGATGTTCAGCAGGGACTTTACTACTCCAAGACACCCTTTGAGACAAATCAGAACCACTTCCCTTATTCTCAAATTCTCTGTAATAAAGAGTCTTAAGTTCAAACTCACCATTCCATTGCATCCAACCCCCAGGAGTAACAAGTTCTTCCAAAACAGAGTTGATAAAAACTGTTCTGGAATACTCCTTCCATGGCCTACCCAAATAGTTCTTATGCACTTTAGGATTACTATGATACAATGCCATGTAATCCTCAGTTCCATTAATCAAACAGTTCTGAAAAACAAACCCTGTAGTTTGTGAAGGGGCGGTTCTACCATGAGCTGTGATTGCATTGTTCTCGCCTTTCTCTGGCTTGACTTGTCTAGGACGAACCAGAATTTGACAGTCTTGAAAAATTGCAGCTAAATTTCCAAAGATGAAATCCATATTCCCTATAATGCGGGGCATGATTTGTAGAATTGGCGCAGGGAATGAGCATAAAGAGTGTCTTGATTTCCTATGAACTCGCAATTCTCCATCACAGAAAGATCACTGTCTAATCTTAACGCCACTGCTTGATGTGTATCAGGACCTGCTGTGTTTTGAAATGTCAAATCCTTTGCCATGAATCCATCACCAAGAACAGCTGCAAACACCAATCAAATAACCCAAAAGTTAAGGCATGTGAAAGCAAATGTTCACTAAACATGTAATTAACAGGTTAAACTTTAAATCAGACAAATCAAAATCAAAGTGAACATTATGCTGGTGGTAATAAGAGTACTATCAGTTAGAGGGTTAACGACATACTTAGGATCCAAAAGGAAAAAGTAGTGTCGTAGAAGAAAAGAGATCGAAGTTAGGGTAGCTGCTGCAAGGCTTCTTCCAAGGTTCATGGCATTCTCAAGAATTTCCTCTCCTTTAAACAGAACTTGAGATGCTCTATAAAGATTAAACATGCCTGTCACAGCTTGGTTCAGCTGTCCCGCAAAGCAGAAAAATTCACCATTTTTCTCAAAATGCTTGAATACATCTGCCAAATTAGGAATCAAAATTGAAAATTTTAATTCATATGTAGAGATCATTATATATATTTCTTCAAACCAATATGAGAAATTGATGGAGATATCGAACTTACTGGGCGAAACATGGTGGCCATGCAACCTTAGAACTCTAAATCCCATTGTTGTGTCATCAAGATTAGAGCAACAGAATTTTACGTGCAAGTCCAACTCCGAGTATAGTCACATTATTTCCAAGAGATAGCGAGTTGCTGTAAAATCGATCATGAGAGGTGGCACCAATAGTAAAGATCCATGGGCTAAAGGAGGACATGCTCATAGCTGAAGGTCCGGTATTTCTAGCAGCTTGCACAACAAAAATACCAGCCTTTATAGCTGACAACAATGTCGTGTCTATTGGGTTGAAGAAAGTTGCAATACCGGGAGGACGCCTATTTGGAGTGATTGACAAACATATTATATCAACTCTATCTTGAGCTGCCTGTAAACAATCAAATTAGTCATAATATTAAGCCTGACGTAAATGGCATAAACAACACTGAGTACTTGTCTGTCTATATATGTACCTGATCAATACCTGCAACAACATCTGCAGCAAATCCTCCAAATCCCTTGTAGCATTTGTTGGAAACAAAGTCCAACCAATGATGTTTTGTCCATTTCCCAAAACAAGAGTTCCAAAAGTTCTGTCTATTGTTCCTGCCGCCACTGTAATTAGCCAAGGGATACCATTGTGCAATGTTCCAAGATTAGGTCCTAAATTACCTGCAGAAGATGAAACAACAATCCCTTTCTCCATAGCTGCAAATGAAGTTATTGCAATAGGATCTTCATAGAGCAGAACATCATCAAATCTCATGGAAATCGAGATCACATCAACAATTGCTTGATCCATTCCAGCTAAAACATCGGAAGCCAAACGACCTTCTTGTCAATTGGTTTTATATATAGCAAGCCTAGCTTTTGGTGCAATGCCTCTTGCTACTCCTTTAGCATAACCAAAATAAGAAGCTCCATTAACATAGTTACCTGCAACTGTTGATGACGTGTGAGTTCCATGTCCCGCAATGTCTCTAGCCGAGTTCATGAGGATTGTAACATTTGAATTTGAAGCAATAAGACCTTTGTTGAAATATCTAGCTCCAATCAACTTGAAGTTGCACATGAAGACAGAGTCATTCTTCTAACAAAGTACTCAATTGAATGCCAAAACTTATACTGTGTTAAAGAGAAAGGAAATTGCTAATAGTAGTCATATTGATTGAGCCTCGCATTCTGGATTGCTGTACACAAAGCACGTTGTGCATCAAACTGTAATGAGGATAAGGAAAAACATTTTAGCAAAAGGAGCAACAACCACCAAGATAATAGTGACTACAAGATTTTTCAAAATATGAATTTAGTTTTGCTATCTCTTCTTTCTTTCAGAAATGCTATGTTGTGGTTACTGTCCAAAACCAATATGTTGACATTTCTGAATGATATTTCAAACAAGTTTTACACTTACCCTCAAACAAGAATAAATTCTGTTCTATATGCAAAACACAACACACGCCAATAGTTTCTTATCTTATACCTGTCATTTCATGATTCAAGACACAAGATTTCAAATCATCATGAAAATAATACCTCAAGCTATATAAAATTTTCCAAATGTTGTTAATAAATGACAACATTCATAGTTCATTACAGCTTAAACACCAAGTCAAGTACTAAACTAAAAACAAACAAAAATACAAAATACTCATAAAGAAGCCAGTTTACCCTTTACTTCACTCTCATCTTCCAAATCACCATCACCAACATGATTACTTTCAATATCACTCTGCTTAGTCACCACCACAGCATCACGTTGCGGCAAAACATTCCCAGTAACTGATTGTTGATAAAGAACACCCCCAATTATAGTAAAAAGCAAACAAACCAAACCAGGAGGACTAGCATGCTTATCCCAAATCTTCACATTAATAGCCACCGTGAGAAACTTATTTACAACCCCAGCAACCGTAAAAGCAGTAGCCGAAACCGCTTTTCTCGCAGCAAATCCAAAGAAACTGATAAGCAAACCAAACACACATGACAAAGAAACCGCAAGAAACACATTCATCTCAAACAAACCCCCAGTACTCGAATTAATCGCATTCGAAACCTCAAAATTCTCTCCAGTAAGAAACCAAAAGAAAGGAGCAATCATCAACGACAACAGATTGTTATAAAGAACAAAACCCCAAGTATTCAACCCAAGACTCATAACCATATGCTTGATATAAACCATCTCAGTAGTAATCGTAACCAAATAAGCAAAAGCCCATGAATAAGCGGTAAGAGTAAAACCCGAATCGGTAGCAACGTAACCCACAACACCAGCAAGAATAACAACAAGCGAGAAATAAGTGCATTACATTTACCATACATCGAAACAACCGCATTACAAACAAATACATTAGAATCAAAACCCGTAATATGAAAGCATGAATCGAAGCCCCTAGATTGAACAGGAAAGAAGATACACTGTGTTTCAAACAACTTTTAGGGTTTGGCTTTAATTGAGAAAAGGGATTGAGGAAGGAGAGAAGACGCAATGAAAATGAAAATGGTGATGAAACTTTTATTGAAATCTAAAGGACAAGGAACGAAGATGAGATTAAGGATATTGAGGTTTAAATTTGAAAAAGAGATGACATGAAAGAGGAATGGGAAAAGGAAAAATGTGAATGAAGATATTAAGATTAAAAATAGCATTTTAATTTTATAAATATTTTTCAACATAAATTATATTATAATTGTTTTATTTCACTAAAATGTATTAAGTAGGAATCGAACCGGGGTCTTGTAAGAACCTCTTAAGTCAGGTAATAAACACGTGACTTAATAAATAAACTTCTTAAGTCATTTCGATAAAAGAACCGACTTAAGAAATTTAATGTAAATTATATTTTTTTTATTTAATCTTTGTTAGGTCGGTTAAACATAGACACGACATAACAAAGTTTCAAATATTTACGGATTTGCCACCGTGTAACTTCTTAAGTCGGATTATTGATGAACTGACTTAAAAACCTCTGTTAAAAAGGTATTTTTACACTAGTGTGATTGTTCCAAAAATTAGATCTTGACTTGGATGAACGTTTCAGAATCAGAGTCTGATTGGTTAAAACTTGATCTGGGGATCTCAGAGTTACTTTAAAGAATTTGTCAAATTTTTCATATGTTCTGAAAAACTAAGAGTTCACGTTAGTTATAATTTATATGTCTGAATTTCATTTAGGTAGAGTTTATTTGAACTGTCAGAATTTCATTTTCTCCCCCTTTTTGTCACAATCAAAAAGAAAACTTTAAAGACAAAACAAAAGGAAATAGAGAAAATATATATTCAAGTAGAGAAAACAACAGAGTCATTCATTCATTCAGATAAAAACAGACAAATCATCAGATAATAAGTTCAAGTACAGGTGCACAAACATCAGATACAGAAAACATAAAACTAGGTTTGTTTGGAAAGAATCATCTTCAGAAGTTGAGTGATCTCAGATGAAGATTCTTCTTGCTTTGTCATCCATTTTGCCATGTTCTCATTCTTCTGATCTTGCTTGGCCATGCATGACTTGATCTCAGATTGTCCAACTTCCAATACTGCAATCTTATCTTCTAATTCTGGGTTCTCTTTCTTGATCTCAGATGAAGAAGATGGAGCAGATTCTGATGCAGGAGCAGAGTCAAGAATCATTGGAGTTGCAGAGTTTTGAGCCACAGATGCAGAGGGTTTGTTTACAATTGTCAGAGCCAATGGATTTTCTTCAAAAGCAGATTCTGCAAAAGCTTCTGTAGCAGATATTCCAGAAGATGAAGGTACGTCTTCAAGAAGCAAAGGTGCAGATCTTTTCATATTCCATATCATGCTTCTGACAGTCTCCGCAAATTTGAGCTTCGCATCATCAGAACAGACATTCTTCAAATTTGAGGCTACAATATTGAATCTGGTAATGAAGCTATTCCAGATAGCATCAGATTCTTCTGCATTCATGGTTGACAAGCATCTTTGCTGTACAGAGCCTAAAGTCATCTTTATTTCTTTCATAAAATTGGCAAATAGAATATCAACGTTTAGCCTAGTTTTTGGTTTAAGAAGGGTTTCCAAAGTGAGTGGCTTGGGTTGAGGTGGAGGTGGTATGGTAAATTTTGGAATGATGATCAGAGGACGAGGGTAGGAAGGAAAAGATGGATGGTCAGATGATGAAGTAGCAGTGTTGGATTTGGATAAGGCATGAACCAGAGATGGTTTTACATGTGATGCAGAGGGAACGACATCAAATGTAGTGGAAGTGTAGGGAATGAAAACAGTTTTATCAGAAAACTGAGGTTCTGATGAAATGATATCTGGCAGTTCTTGTAAGTAGGTTTGAAGTATAAATGGTATAATAGTTGAGAACTTAGGTTTATATAGAGTGGTAGAGTCAGATGGTTCTATTCTGGTGTAAAAGTTTTTAATCTTTAGACCAGAAGGAAAGGGATCAGAGGGAAGTGGTTTAAAGGAAGCAACTGAAACAAACTCAGATGTCCTGGGTTTAGGTTTTGGAGTAGGTTTAGGAATGATAGTTTCAGATGAAATGGGTGGATCTGGTTGTTTAGATTCATATTCTCTGAGAGAAGGGGGTATAATAACATCTGGATGAGCATCAAATTCAGAGGAATCAGATGAGGTAAATGGGGTACAAGATGTAGAAGATACTTCAAACACAGTCTTGAGGAGTTGAACATCCAGAATTTCAGAATCAGGTATGTTTTATTCAGTAGGTTTGGATTGTTCTGGTTGAGGATTAGAAGGTTTGGATGTTGGTGGTTCAGATACAACTGGTTCAGATGCAACTTGTTCAGATGCAAAAGTTTCAGATGCAACTGGGTCAGATTGTATGGTTTTAGGAACAAAGTTTTGTTGAGAGTCAGGTTGTTGTTGTGTTGGAATTGGTTCTGCTGGTTTTTTTGTTTGTGGTTCAGATTGAGAAAGGTCAGATGATTTAAGTGGTGTTGTGGGAACAGGATCAGATGGAATTTTTGATGTAGGAATAGTGGGTGGTTCAGATGTTTGAGAGGGAGAGGGAATTCTTTGATTTTGAGTGGGAGGAGGTTCAGGTATAGAACTAATTGTTGATACATCTACTGCAATTTTAGAAAAAGAAGGTAAAGATTTTTTAGTACCTTTTGTCTTGATGCATTTGGTAGGAACAGAGGGAACTTTTCCAGAAGCTTTTCTCTTTATCTGCTTCTGTGGTTTTTCAGCAACTTTTTGTTTCTTCTGAGCAGCAACTTCTTTTGCCTCTAACTGTCTTCTTTTCCTCATGTTTTCCTCATAAACATATGGAATAGGTTCTCTAGCACGTATCAAAATATCAGCAGGAACAGGTGTTCCATCTGCCTTGCACATTTCAATGTACCTAAGAATAATATCCCTATGTTCTTCAGCACCAAAGATTGGAAAGTCTTGAACTGGAATCCTTCTCTGACTTACTTCAGCAACATTCAGCTTCTTAGGAGCAGTTGTGAGTTCATCCACAACTTTTAGTCTTTGAAGAATCTTTCCACTCAGAGGTTTTCTAACTATTGACTCAAGCTCTTTCTTCACTCCAGCTTCATGTAGAGCAGCTACCAGACCATTCTCTGTCAGATATCTTCCAAAAGGAATCCACGTCCTGATCTTATGTCCCTTAGTCTTAATAGATTCTCTGGATGCATTAATGTGATTCCACAGATGCATGAAGAGAATGTATGGCAGATCCACTTTGGTACTCTGACTTAAATAGTACATGAAATAAAGTTGTTCATTGTTCACATAATCTGGAGAATTTGTGGATTTTCTGTGATTGATGCAACCCAGAAAAATCTTTGCCCAAATTTTGTAGTCAGGTTTCAGATCCTTAAACTTATTAGAGGCTTGTCCAGATGAAATAACTTCCTCATAAACTTCTTCCATATCAACACGCCCAGCTGGCAGATGACAAACTCCATCAGTTTCCTCATACCCAATGAGTTTTCTGATGAGATCTTTAGTGATTATGATCTCTTTTCCTAGAACAGAAGAGAGGATGAACTTTGGGTAAACAGATGCATGAATCCAAAATTCCTTCACTAAGTGTGGATACACTGGTCCAAATAATCTATCAAAATACTTAACCCAGCCTTATGCATCAACAATAGAACGCAAATCAAATCCATTGTCATCCAAAGAATCAAATTCCACCATGGATTCACAAAGAACTTCAAGTTTATCAACAGGGGTTAACAAAGTTCTCTCAGGTTCCTTAAATGGAGTAGCACCCATGTTTGATGATGCAACTGCAGCCATTGATATTGAAACTGAGCTGAGGTTGAGGATGATGTTTCCATTGTTGAAGATGAAGAAGATTTGAATGAAGGTTTAGGGTTTTGATGAAGGCCAAATAATAAACAAAAATGCATATACTTGTTTGTGAAATGAAAAGTGTGAAATGGTGTGATTTGTGGTATTTATAAAGAAAAATTAAGGCACACAATCAGACACATTTAGCACATACTCACTTAGCATTAAATGGCATTTACTGAAAAGAATAATAATCATTTCAAAAGATTAATTGATTCTGACAATTTGGGGGGAAAACCAAGATTTTAACTATTCAAACAATACCTCAAATGTCTCTTCAGTATTGTGCACGCCATCTTTTCAGATTCAGAGTGACACGTGCTTGTATGTGCTTCTGAATTCTTGAGAAATGAAGCGTTAGCCAACGTTCAGATCTTCTGAGATTGGTTAGTTCAGATACACACAAATTATAATAATTCAATAAATCAAATAAATGACAGATGAAATACTTCCGAGTTTTAAACATTTTGCATTTGAGAAGTTTGCTTCTGATAAATATTACTCTGGACAAAATTCCATACCAATATTTTTCAGAATAAACTTGAACCTATCTTCAGCAAGGGGTTTTGTGAAAATATCAACCCATTGATAATCTGTATCAACAAAGGCTAAGTTTATGATACCCTTCTGAACATAGTCTCTGATGAAGTGATGTTTAATTTCTATATGTTTTGCCTTAGAGTGTAAAATGGGGTTTTTAGACAAACATATAGCAGAAGTATTATCACAGAATATAGAAATATTACTCTCAAAGATCTGATAGTCTTCTAGTTGACTTTTCATCCAGAGCATCTGCGTGCTACATCCAGCAGCAACAATATATTCTGCCTCTGTAGTTGATAGCGCAATTGTAGGTTATTTCTTGTTGTACCAGGAGATTAAATTTCTTCCTAGAAATTGACAACTTCCAAAAGTACTTTTTCTTTCCACTCTGTCTCCAGCGTAATCAGCATCACAGAATCCAACTAGTTTAAATTCATTAGATCTTCTGTAACACAAACCTACATTAGAAGTACCTTTCAGATACCTTAGAATCCTCTTAACAGTTGTTAAGTGTGATTCTCTAGGATCTGATTGGAATCCTGCACACAAGCATACACTAAATAAAATGTCAGGTCTAGAAGCAGTTAAGTAGAGAAGAGATCCTATCATACCTATGTAGAGTTTCTGATCTACTTACTTACTTACTTCTTCCTTACCAAGAGTACTTGTTGGATGCATGGGAGTCTTTGCCATCTTACTATCAGTCATGTTAAACTTCTTCAGAAGCTCTTTAACATATTTGGTCAGATGAATGTAAGTGCAATCTGGATTCTGGTTGACTTGAATTCCCAGAAAGAATCTCAATTCTCCCATCATGCTCATCTCAAATTCA